AGCAAGGTGGCAATCTGCCTGGCGCCCGTGGCGCCCAGCGGGTGGCCAAGCGCGATGGCGCCTCCCTTTGGGTTCAGCTTCTCCATGGGGATCTTCAGGTGGTCGATCGACATGGTTGCCTGGGATGCGAAGGCCTCGTTGATCTCGTAGATGTCAATGTCATCGACGTTCACGCCCGCCTTCTCGAGAGCGACTGGGATGGCGAAAGCCGGGCCGATTCCCATCAACTTCGGGTCAACGCCGACGCAAGCGAAGCTGCGGAATCGCGCGATGATGGGCAAGCCCATCTTCTTGGCGGCTGATCGGCGTGCCAGCAAAACCATGGCAGCACCGTCGGTGACCTGGCTGGAATTGCCTGCGGTGGTGCTGCCACCTGCTCGGAAAGCAGGCTTCAGTTTGGACAGGCTCTCCTTCGTGGTGCCGCCACGGGGGCCTTCGTCCTCTGTGATCGTCTTCTTCGTCACGCTGCCATCCTTGTTCTTCACTTCGATGGTCACGGGGACGATCTCCTCCTTGAACCAGCCGTTTTTCTGAGCAGCGAGTGCCTTCTTGTGGGAGTCTTCCGCCATCTGATCCTGGCGTTCCCTCGTGATGCCATAGGCGGCTGCCACGTTCTCAGACGTCAAGCCCATGGGCAGCAAGCAAGCTTCTGCATTCTCGTAGTCCAAGATCTTTGCGGACAGCTTTGTGATGTCGATGGTGGCCATCATGGGGAACATGCTCATGTTCTCCACACCACCAGCAAGGCCGACATCAATCACACCCGCCTTGATGAATGCCGCAATGTTCGCGGTGGCCTGGAGGCTGCTGCTGCACTGGCGATTGACAGTGCTTAGAGGGATGTCGTAGGGCAGCTCGGCCATGAACTGGCCCATTCGGGAGGTCAGTCCACTGGCGCCCGGCTGAAGCACGTTACCGACCTGGATGTCACCAATGTCTTTCGGGTTCACCTTCGTCCTGTTCACGACTTCCCTGAAAACCCAAGACAGGAGCTCCTCCGGGGAGGTGTTTGCGAAGGAACCCCGCTTTGCCTTGGTCAGCGGTGTCCGGACGGCACAGCAGATCACCACGTCATCATCGGACTTCTCTGGGGCACAAATGCAGGCGGTGCCAGCTGTGGCTTGTGAGACAAGGCTGGGATCCTGTTCTGACAGGGACGCGCTGATGTGAGAAGCGATCTTGCCCACACGGTTCATGGTCACGACAGGGCACTACTCTAGAAGCTGGGTACCACGTTTACTTTTGAACAAACAAACTGCAGCAATCCCGCCAACAAGTGCGACGAAATCATGTCAGCTCTTTCGAATTCGAAGGGCCCCAAGAAAAGAAGCAAAGCAAACTGAAAACATTCAAGGGTGCGCGACAGCTACCAACCATTCTCAAGCTTGAGTGCAACTGTCGTGCGTTTCCGGCCTTCTTCCGCTCTTCCAACGGAGAGCTGCGTGTTCGATCCTTGCTTGTGACACGCTGCAAACCATGCAAGCTCCGTGGGCACCGGAGAAGAAGGCTGCCAACTGCTAACTGACTAAGACCCAGTACCTCCCCGTTCCGGCTTCCTCGCACTGACAGACATGCGCAGCACAGCGAAGACTGCAGCTCGGTTTTCTCTCCGCCATCTCTCCGTCTTCACCAATCACGCACCTGGCGGAACGGTGCTTCATCCAACCGCTTTGCGAGATGCTTTACAACATCGTCCTGACTCAGCTGAACGAGCAATTGAACATGATGGCATGATAACATCGATGATGACAGCGAAGCCAGGCATGAAGCTAATGCCAATGAAGAAACCGATGGTGGTGTTTAAGCGTGGTCATGGCGACGATGCTGATGATGATCGTGAACAAGAAGAAGACTGCGATAGATTGCGAATGTGGCATCAGCGGGGTGCTGACGACGTTGCACACATTTACGGTGACTGATGTCGAAATTATAGCGATGGGCGGATAACGATGTTGACGATTTGAACATGTTGTTGGTGTCATCATGACTCCATGCTGAACCATTCCATTTGCTTGGCAGTCCCCTGCCCCTCCCACCCCCCGCTCCGACAACCCCTGTTCGCAAACCCCGGTAAACACTTCCCGAAGCCGCGTAACGAATCCAGGTTCAAGCCTGTCGAAGGGAATGATTGCTTGCTGCCAGGGCCTGCATCTAACGGAGGAACAATTTTGCGAAGGCTCTTCGGATTTCACGTTGAAGACCCCGCAATAGACCACAAAGCCCTGCACAACCGCCTTCCTGCCAATATGGAAAGTTAAGGCTGTGCCAGGTTTCAAAGTGTTGGCTCTAAGAATTCATGATACTTAAGACATCCAAACCGTTCCATTCTACCCTCAAAGTGGCACAAACCTTTCTTTCACCCCAAGTGCGAAATCTTTTTGAATATTTACCCATGGAAGTCCAGTGGGAACATATTGCAATAAGACATAACCCTAAACCTAAGATCCAGGCAGTGCCTGTACTTGCGAAGGTTGCCTTCGCGACTCCTGGTCATGATGCAAGAGTTTCTTCCAAACCATGCTCTCTCTTTTGAATGCGCTTCACTCCCTCCAAGGCTTGAGTATCTATGAAGTGACAGGCACTGGGAGTCTGGTAGATTACTAACAGACAGCCTGCAAATCGGCTGTTGCCACACCAACGGTCAAGCCTCACATCGGGGCCTCGAACCGAACGCCTCATGACTTTCACTCGGAGACTTCTTCGTTTCGTCTGCGAGGCCAAATTTGCAAGACTCCTCCAACGTTCAGTGTTGGAAGGCTTAGATTTAGGGTTAGAAGGTTCAGCGTTGAGTTGTTCAGGCTGCAGAACCACAGCTATGCAGGGACAGGTCCTCCACCCCAGCGCTTGCCCGTGCAAGATAGTTTATGACCTTATTGTCGCAGCATCACTTGAGCGCCCTGAAGTTGTTGACCGCATGGAAAGGAGTTGCACCTCAAACAACACGACCTCGAAACCGCCATTGAGCACATACATCCGCTGCATGCCGTGCACGACGTCAAGAAACTTGCGATCTTTGGGGTCAGGAAACTGACAGCCTATGCCCTGAAAAGAACCCAAGCAGACAAGTACAGTAGCAGCTAAGGTTGAAGGTTTGGGGCTGATGGGCACTGCTGTTGGACGCACATCGGATGACATGGGATAGCTCACAATGCTGGAAACCGTGGAGGGTCAGGTGATGAAACGTCAACACCTTGTGGCGCCTTGCAAGTCAGGACGCATCCTCTTGCTCGAATTCCATTGCTTTGTCCAAAGCCTGGCAATTTGGAGTTTTTGCACCGACATTACCCTGAAGATGCACTGGATGCACTGACACGTTGCCGCTCTCTAGCGAACCCAAATTCTGATTCCCTGCGCCCCAGATCTTGTAAAACCCCAAACCCTGAACCCATACGCTCAACCGTAAGTCTCCTAAAAGTCGAGGGCCGGAACCCTAAAGCCAAGGTAGGCAATACTTTCAGACACAAGGTTTCTGGTCTTGGACGGTTTCGGGTTCACAGTCACGCTTCAGGGATGGGCGTTCAGGGTTTAGGGGTTGGGAGTTTGCACGAGTTCAGACATATCCCTCTCTCAGAAGCCCTCCTAAATTGATCCGAAGTACTAGGATACTTGATTTCTAAACGCCTCAGTACCCAAATGCAAACCTCAGGTCGTGGGGTCCTTAGCTTCAAAACCCTGCATGCCTCGGTGATAAAGCCTCAAACCGAGGAACACCCTGAACACCATTCTGATTCAGGAGACGCATACAGTAATGCTACCTGAACCCCATGTGGGTAGTTCTCTAAATTAGGGTCCCTTTTAGGGTCCCTTTAATAAGGGTGCCGTACTATATTGGGGATCTAAAAAGGGACCCTAATTTAGAGAACTACCCATGTACGAATCCTGAACCCTGCATGTAAATCCAAGGCTGGGAGCCGTATGGCCGGAGCGCTGGGGTCGGGTGAAGCACATGCCCTGCTGAAGCAACCTCAGCCACACCGACGATCATCCCACGGATGTACAAAGCTTTTATAAGAACATGTATAGGGCGGAACTAGGAGTTTGGGGCTTGATACGGGGTCTGGAATTCGGGGATTACGGGTCTCGAGGTTTCTACACTGGCTGGTCCTTCAGCGCTGGGGGGTTCAGGAACTTGCAGTAGGGTTCAAGGGTTCAAGGGTCCAATGTCAGAATGACGCACAAGAGGTGTATCGTTGCAAGGGTCGCTTCATTCAGGACACCGCAAACTGGTTCTTTGATCCATGGAACAGCAACTCAGAATCCATCGGAGCCTCCTTCGGCTCGGCCTCACCTTGCCTCGACTCTGAATACAATTTCTTGGCCTCCGGCTCGAATACTTCCACAAACAGTGGCTGTCATAACTTATGACTGCTCGGGCTAGTGGTACCTACTCTACTTTTGACGCTTTCCATCGCGATGGTAATTATGGTTCTCTGCTGACTATGCTGGATATGTCCTTATTCATCAGAACTTGGGGTACATAATAGCACAAGTCAAAGGAGCAGGCTGAAGGAATTGTATTACAACTTGTTGTTCCGACTCGTATATTAGATCTTCTTTCCTCTGCGGCAGCCAAAAGGCCACCGGCAAATGGCCACGTCACCACCCATGGCCGCAAAGTGCCCTGCGTCGCAGCCATACCTCAGCTCTGGTTGATGGCCGCACAATTGCCATGATCTGTAAGCCTTCAGCTTATGAACAGCTTAAATGTAGCCGGCTGCCTCATAAAAGCTACTTTGAGGATTGTAGGTTTGTCGCACACTTTTGCCGTGCTACCCTTGTTATTGTGTCTGACAATAGTATTGTACAACGCACTTCCACTGAGGATTCGCTTAGCATACGAGCGGTTGTCTCCTGTTGACCTTTGCAACGGATCATGGCATTCACAATCAGCTGCAACCGCATTCGGTGGATTGGCAACAACGGCACTGCAAATAAAATTGAAGAGCAAATGGGCACTTTTGAAGGCTGGACTGTTGGAAGTGTAGTGTTGTCTAGAGGGCAACATTGTCGTGGATGGTGACATTGTGGTGGTCACGAATTAGGATGACGACACACTGACTTTCAATGTTGCGTGAGAGCCTCAACCATCCTTGTTCTTCCATTTCGCCTCCACGTCGCGGTGCACAAAATGACGACTACATTGGACAGGCACCTCGAGTCTACATAAAAAGTTTTCCATGCTGTGGAATTCTTTTTGCTTGGACGTTTCCTTGTTGCAAGTAACCTGCCGCAGCCAATGGAAGGCCACATGAAAGTTCAAACTTCTTGAACAATCATGTCGCAATGCCTTTTCTCTCATCTGCCTGGAAGTATAGCTTTTCCAAATGAAACAAGCGCTTCCTGGGAAGGAAAACCCTCACTACCAAGCCTGTCTCCTCAATCAAATGCCCCGAATGCAAGCTTCGGAAAACCAAAATGCACGGGATGCCCGAAGAAAAAAAAACCCTTTTAATGATGCCAGCGGACGCATTCTGCAACCAGAGATCTGCTCCTGAGTGCACTTGGCAATGTAGGCGTGCGCGCTGTCTCTCACCAAATTTATGGAATTCTTAAGGGAGGGGTTCTGAGGGTATAGAACCCAGTAATCCCCAATTCTCCCTAGTACTCCCTTGGGTTCCCTAAAGCTCCCTCCCCCCTTGAGCCACCCTCCCTTTAGGATCCAACAACAAATCGCCCTCACAAAAGGGTGGCTTGAAAACAACTGCTTAAAAACCGCGACATGCATCTACCAATATTGGCAGCTGAGCCACTTTGCCTTAACAAGAAGTCACACGTCTCAATGTGGCCACCGTAACTTGCAAACCTCGCGAAACCGCGAGTTGGTGGCATGAAACACAGTTCAAGTCTGCATCGCCATGAAAATTGAGCTTCACCTCGGCCTTTTGCATACAAGCACATGGGAAACTACTAGAACATCTGTGGTGCCAAATTTTTGCCGCCCTGCCCCCCCCCCCCCCCCNNCCCCCCCCCCCCCCCCCCCCTCGCAGCAAAAGTGCTAAACCATGCCGCCAACACAAGAATGAATTCTGTCTGTTAGCTGACTACACTTAGAAACGGGTTCACATGATGTCGTGCCACTCCGCAACTTGCAATTCAACTGAGCGAGACATGGCGTGCTTTGCAGCCGCGAAGCATCATCATGGTGACCCCGGCTGTGGTGCGAGCATCAGGATGCACCTGACCATCACCGACGAACAAGCTTGTCGAGCATGCGGGAGTCGGCCAGGGGCCAGGGAAAGCCCGACGTGAATCCTGCTGCATGGCAAAGGAAACAAACCGGTCAACAGCCGAGATCCTCAGCCAATCGACACCCAGCGGCCTTGCACTGCAAAAGCCGCTGGAGAACGGAGTTGTGCCCACCCTGGCATGTGCAATGCCTACCCTCCCGGCCATGTTGCAGTGGCGCACGACATGCGAAGTATGGCAAAGCAGAGCGACCCTCCAACAAGCACGACGAGACAGAGAGCCTGGGCAGCCCAGTGAAAGGCTCCACGGCCATCTCGACGTGTTGCCTCCAAGTAGGCTTCTGGAAACATGCGTCTGCTGGCTTTACAAGGTGCTTATGAAGGCTTCATGAAGGTTCCATGAGGAATTCAGGGGCATATCTCACAACGACCACGACTACGGCATCACGGCACACCATGCGACAGGTTGCGTGTACCCCGATCACCAGAAAACTCTAAATTTGATGCAGGACATGTCGGGGAAGTCATGTCCCCTCCACAACCAAAAGAATCATGGGCGCAATGTTCCTGCCCGCCCTCCCCCTGCCCCACTGCAACTCCCCCCTGCTCCCAGCAATCAACGGAACAGTATACTGTAGATACAAGCATACAAAAACAAGTATGAACGCACTTGTGCACGTAAATACATACCGTCTCCACGCATGGTATCATACCATCGTATAGCACTGAGTGTGTCGTGCGTGGTTTTCTCAGGGCACACGCATTAAACAGAATGAACCTCCACCGCAACCAGTCCAAGCCTTGTTTCAAGGACTCCTAGGAACCTGCAACTTCCTGAAGCCCCAACTTCCAGCAATGTCGCCGATCCCGAGCCTTCAGGGCATGGCCAGCGTCCACCGTCAGAAGCAGATCCACGCACTCCATGTGCCCATTCCCGGCAGCCCAGTCCTTCAAAGATGGTGAAGACTAAGGGTCTACTTAGGATCGTGTCCTGATGGCTGCGACGACCACTAATGACCACTACACGCACCAGTGCTGCTGCTACTGCTACTGCGCTGGCGACGAGTAAGGCTACTACTCATTCGATGGGTTGTTGTTGCTGGCCTTCCTGTGGTTGCTCTGAAACTGCCCTCATAGTGAAGAAGGCACTGAAGGTGATTCCGATAATTGTTGTCCTAGTACTAGCTGCTGATGCTGCTACTGTTGTTGCTGGCGGTGTAGCTGTAACTGTAGCCGTTGCTGGTTTGCTGTTGCTGCTGCTGTTGCTGT